AGCCGGTGTGCTGCTGCTCTGCATCATGTACAGGGCGTCTCTCTTAAGAGAGAAAATAGGTACCAACAACGTCAGGTAGGAACGAGCACTGCACAATGCATATAGAAATAAAGGTAGACATGTACGTAATACGCCCAAGTACGCCACGCATAGTTCACCACGGCAGATTGGAGTTAAAGGGCTCCAGAAGGTCGCGGGTTCGACCCCGGGCCTCGGCGGTCGCATTTTGGTCGAAGCGACGTGCTAGATGCCCACGTACTGTACAATGTCAGTGCACGTTAAAGGGGCCCTGAAACACTTTTTTGAGTAACCATGGAATTAATTCACTGGAAAAGCGTATCGTCTCACGAATTCAATGCCGCAAACATTTTAAGAATCCATCCAGTACGAGCGGAGTTACAAAGATTTGTCACACGCTGCAATCGCATTCTCTCTTCTCTCGTCCCGACGAAAGCGCTGGAAGCTAAGCAGGGAGGAATGGGCATGGGCAAAGAAAAAACGTCACGCGCACCTCGTGACCTTGAGCACTTTTTTCTTGTTTTTTCTTCGAATACGTGGCTCTACCATGTGCGATCGCGCGCACTCACACATGGACAAGTGACGGCCTCCCGCTGGCGATCTCTGTAATGACCAAGCGTGCCATGTTCAAATAGGCCCATGGCTGATAGATGGGCTTACTGCGAGTAATTTCTGGGTTTATCGCGTGGATTTATCGAGAGAAAAGAAAGTACTTTTTTAGGTGACTTGGATAATTTGTGAATCCCAGGCCGCGTGCTGCGCTATAATGTTTGGCTCAGCGTGTTGTCATCGAGCCTCTACTACCGATCGGCAACATTATCTGACCATGCTCAAAAAGTGTTGCAAGGCTCCTTTAACGAGCACCATATTGTCGAAATTTCCGGAGCCGTGCACCGCGGCGTCCCTCATAATCGTATCGTGGTTTTGGGGAGTAAAATGCCAGCTATTATTAATATTACTACTACTACCAGTACCACTACCACTACTACTACTACTACTACTACTACTACTACTACTACTACTACTACTATACTCTCGCAAATTTTATGAATGGGAACACTCGAGCGCGTCCCCAATATATATCTTCGTGTGGGGCCTCTAGCGCAGCGCAGTGGCGAAATATAAATATAAAAGGAGATAGTGGTGCCATATTTTCTACTGCTGCACTCCTGTCACAAATGTCATTATTTCGCACTTCCATCTTGATGTCTTTGTTCTGCTGCAACGTATCAGCGAGCAGTGATTGCTTTCAATCAAAGTGGTTTCTATCACAGCTTCGTCTGCCACAACAATACAAAAGCATAAACAAGAGGGAAAACTGCCAGAAGGCGTACAGACAATAAACGGAAAGGCCCCGCCCTGTCTGTCTATTGTCACATTTCGCCACTGCACCGCGCTGCATGCATGCCCGAGCAAGGCTATCTGCCGCGCGCTCTCGTGTTCCCTTTTATAAAAATGACGGCTGCACGTCACGAAAAGCTTCGCTGGTCCGCATATTTCGGTTACAGCGAGGGTTCCCGAGCTATTTTTTTTATTCGACTGTTTTGGCAAACTGAAGAGTATATTAATCGTGCGGGAACCTAAACACTTCATGCAATTGAGATCACGTTGTTTGGCAAATAGATAATACGCTTAGAACTGCTCTTAAATTTTGCAATAGAGATGTGTCGGTCACAATATCCGACATTTAACCGCTTTCTTACGCTAATGTAAAGCCACGGCCGCTGCATCAGCGGCCGTCGTAAAACACGTGAAACATTTGTTGCAAGCACAGAAAAAGCGTCACCGTCAATTTCAAACTTACATATGTAAACATACTTTCCCGTGGATCATTCCAGATTGCCCATCTTTTGTTCCTAATACAGAAAAGAAATGGAGTTTGTGACTGTGGTGGGCTCTAATATATGATGACATACGTCACTACCATCAGGCTATAACGCTTCTGTTGGGAAAGTGTTAACACACTCACGCGCGCATGCACGCACACAAACACAAACAAAACACAAACACACACACGCACACACACTGTACACTGAGGACACGAAGGGGATCTTATATAACGCAATCAAGTACTTTTTCCTCAAATTTTAAGGGCGTTACACGTTATAGGGCTTCAGCTTGTCGGCGCGTCACGTCGTCGTCCCGATCCATCATAAAAGGGTAGGCTCCACAAAATTTGTTTCAATTCCCGTATTCGCCACCGTTCTATACTATGCATATTACGACTTAGAAAGTTCGTCGTTACTGCCCAAAACAGCATTATGGTTGGCTTCTACCGCTATCGGCCCTTTCTTCTTTCTCTGACTGGCCATTAGCAGCCATTTTGCTTTGGGAAACACTGGCACACTGTTAATGTTTCTACCCTCGTCAAGTGTCATGCTAGCGGAATAGAAACACCCTTTCATACATGCGCTTTATCTACATGCACCTTCGCCTCTCCCAGCTATCTTTTTTTTTTTTGTAGCGTTCTTTAACGCACTTAAATGTCGAAATCCCGTGGGGTGCAGCGCCGCAATGTTGGCTTGCGGCGAAACTTGTTCGAGAATTTCTCATCCGCATGCTCAGATTTTGGTGCACGATAAAGAACGCCAGGCGATCTAAATTTCCGGAGCCCTCCACTACGGCGTCTCTCATAATCATATGGTGGTTTTGAGACGTTCAACCCCACATATCAATCAATCAACTTCTCATCCGCAGGATGTGACGAATAGTCTCTGACGTGTGACACACACTGCAGTTAGGGTTTCACTTCTGTCCAATCCTTCAAAGGTATCGTCACGTATATGCAACACTCAGCCGCTGTCTATATGTAGTGGCGTTTCCTGGTCTCTCCTTAGTCAACACTGCATCGCCTCACAGATCGTCGACAGACTGACGAACCTTCTCGGTGGAGAAGCTTTTGGGTGCTTGGAACATGTAGGTCACGCCCAACGCAGCTTAAAGCGTTTGTTATGACTTCTTAGCAAGAAACGTTTAGAGGCTCGTCTTTAGAGCTTGTACTTATGCAGATATTGTATAGAGACTTCCATATGCGTCTTATTTCACACGGGACAGTGTGCCCAGTGACTCATTGTGCTATACCACAATCACCCCTAATCAGACCTTCCTCTCTTTTGCTTTATTTCCCTTTCTCCTTCACCCCGTGAGGAGTAGCAGGCTAGAAACCCGCTTTCCTTGTGGACTTCTCCTCGTTCCTTCATAGCATTCAACATTTTCCGTCCTGTGTACTGCGTGTATGCCCAACCAAGATGTTACTATTTACTGAGTACCTCGCCATAGAAGCATCGAGGGCAATGTGTTAGCTGACCAAATGGCCACGTCAATTACATTGCGCGCTATTAACCCTGCTGCTACTGTCCCTGCAACAGACCTAAAACCCTTCCTACGTAAGAAACTGCGAAGCCACTGGCAACGCTTGTGGGACACAAAAATAAATAATAAGCTTCACTTGAGTAAGCCGTAGTTAGGTTACTGGCCCTTCGCTACAAGAACACGGCGAACTGATATTTTATTCTGTCGCCTCAGATAAGGACACACATATGGTACCCATAGCTTTCTTCTGACTGGCGATGAACCTCCTACTTGTGGTAGATGTGGCGAGAGGCTAACCATCCTCCGCGTCCTCCTGGAGTGTCCGGAAGCTGAAAGAGAGAGAGAAAGAAAAATTTTGCTTTAGCATACCGCTATCATCTTCCTCTACATAACTATGTTTCTCAGCGAAAAGCCGCTTTTCAACGCAAAATTAGTTCTAAGCTTTTTAAAGGATGTAGTATTGAATGTTTTTAGCCCAAGAAGTTCATAGTGCATCCTCTGTTCAGAGGATGCTGCTGTGATAGCAGCTTTTAATGAGCCCAGGCCTCCATGCTCTTGTTTTAAGGGCTCTGCCGAGGCACTGGTGCTATACGCCAAGTTTTTATTTCACATGCGTATCACTTTTAAGCCATTCTTTGTCTCCATAGCACACATCATTTGTCATTGCCATAATTTTATATATGTATATTTTTACGCACCTACAGCGACTGTTTTTAGGCCCATTTACCGCCACGACACATCTCTTTTATCCACACTGCACATCGTACAGTTCATTATCATCGCTCTGGTGCTCTTGGGCTATATCTGGCCCTAGCGCCAATAAACTCCACTAATCGTCATCAACATTTTCTCATCCGCAACAGATCAAGCGTGCAGTGTTCTCCATTGCACTCTGAGCTCGTGCCCTTTGATGAGAGCGTCCACACGCGTAATACCCCACGTGACGCTAGCGTTCCCTGTAGAGATATAAAAAAATACTTGCGTAAAAAATTAAGCGGATGCCACCGCAAACGAGGTCGTCGACAGTAGCACGGGTTGAAGCCTGCTGACGAACAGATGATTCCAGTCATATTCTGTGACCGGGTATCACCTGTATGCATTTGACGTCGGCCTCGCTGACCCTGACACAATGCGCAATGCGTTACAACGGTCAATATGACAGCATTAAATGCACACGTTGCGCATTATATTTTATTTTGTATTATTACGTATGTTTTATAGTTTTTCTTTTCGTGTTTGTTTATGCTTGTACATTTCTTCGTCATTTTCTTTCTTAGCTTCGCCCTCTTCTTTCCTTTTTCTCTCCTCCTATCTCTCTTTCCTCTTTCCTACTCTCGAGAGTATAATCAGGTGTTGTGGCCCTCTAGGTGGCAGATGCCAGCTTGTTCTCTCTCTTTTTTTCTCTCTCTCCTTCCTTACCTGTGTATGCAAATCAAATCAATGAAAAAAGCCTCTTTGTCAAAGTGTCCCTCATGTTTTTTTATATTTTGGCGTATTGGTGTATTCTTACTAACCAGAAAGCGCTTTATAGTTGGAATTGTTATCTTCATTTCTTTCTTTTCGCCCCTCCTTGTTACAATGCTGTAAAGCCCTGACGACAGAATAAATGAGTGAATAAACAAAATAAATAATTGGTTCTGCTATCTTATTTTTTTTCCATGCACTCGCAGCTCTTTCAGCCTACGGTTGTGAACCTGCACCCACGCACCTGCAGCCTTCACGCAAGCCCTGCGCGGAGATGTCACGGTCACACTCCCGGGGGCGGCGTCACGACCGAGTGGAGTACGCAGCATGGGGGGCCCGCTATGTCACCACCGTCGAGAGCTGTCACAACGCAACCGCGACCTTCACACCACGCGATCTCCTTTGTTTTCGTTGATTAAACGGTATCGACTTTCGGTGTGCATTGTTCTGTCTCCCCACTGTCTCTCAATCCTCTCACGCAGAGTCTGTGCCCTTGACGACACCGTGAAACGCTGCACGAGTGACAAGCCATGCTTAGCTAACCAGCGAAGCATACGGAAATGAACCTTCACGATAAGGTTAACCGAGTGCAGTGGGTGTGGCTTCCTCCCGTTCTCTATACAACACACAGTGGGCTACTCGAAACTGATTGTTGGGTTCGACTGCTAGGCTCCACTGCAATGCACCGAATTGTTCGGGACTTAGCGCTGTACAGACGTCGCAGTGGGGTGGTGGAGCGATCTCGATGCGACACGAACCCAATGTGAGCGCCAAAGGTCAGTCAGCTCTCTGAAAGACCGAAGGTCACGGGGTGCCCTTGGCCTTAAACGATGTTAGCAGTGGTCAGTGGGAGTTTGGTAGCTGCTACTGCGATGACTTGAAAGTCCATTATAACCTGCCCGGAGAAATGATTTTTGCGAGTTTGTACAATATATGTGCATCAAGTCTTCCTTAGCCACGCAACATAATCATAGTTCACATACAGTACATATAATCGTAAATCACTATAGGTGTGCGCACAGGGAGGCAGGGGGGATGGCGGCCCCCCTAGTCATTTAAGAGGAGGGGGGGCGTAAAAGCCAGCCCCGTGCATTAAAATTATAGGGTGGGGGTGCTGGGACGTACCTTCGCCCCCCATCCCCCTGAATGGGAACGCTGCGCATGGCTGTGTAAATCATTGGTCATAGCTAACTTGCCATCATCTCTTATGACACTCTGGCCAAGCCTGACCCTTGGGCCACTAAACACGTACACGCACACGCACATGCACACGCACACGCACACACACACGCGCACACACACGCACAGACAGACAGATACACACACACACACACCATCATCATCATCATCATCAATTTTTTTGGACACTCGCTTGCAGAAATTGTGTCAGCTTGCGAATGCACATTTGTATGCGTTGTCTTTTCTTCCCTAGGCCGGTCCATTGTTGCCGTTGTGCGTGGGTATTTCAAGGCTGTACAGGTGCCACCAAATACATCTGTCAGACAATAATCTAGCCTCGAGTCTTCGAAGTGGTTTCAGCTGTACCATATTCATTCATGTGCAGCGAATACCTCTTTTGTCCTCAAGCTTCTCTACTGAATTGGCGCCAGACTTGTCCTTCGTAAATCTAATCGGGCGCAGTTGTGCAGGGGCTAGGAAAATATTTTTCGGGGTGGGGGGAAGTGCATCTTATTTGATCTGAAGTGTGTGCTGGCCAGGCAGATGGAATCGAGTGTCATTTCGGGCTCTATGCCATGGCGAAAAGAAAAAAATGTCGGAGTTGTTGGGGGGCTCGGACCCGGTGTGCCACCTCTTGGCTACGCCACTGCGCCTGTGTCCTTTCTATAAAGCACATCTGACGATGAAATACGTGCAACATTTTCGGCACCATTTCTTTTAGTTCAACAAAAAAATTGTAGAAGCACACGTCTATTGGAATGAAGCTTTCCTTTCCTAATGGGAGGTATTTTAGGTCAAATGAAATGCTTGCGCAGTCGTTGAAGGAATCTCTATTTGATTCGAGACACCTTTCTCCGAATTCTCCAATGATTGCGCTAGTTTAGTCTTCCTTTGTTTGTAAAACCGTTTTATTTAGTGCCTTTTACTTCAGAACTGCGTGTTATTTCTTGGCTGAACTCTCACAGTAGCGTTAGTTGAAGTTTATTTGAAATATATACATTTAGGACACATTTAGAAAAAGAAGGCTAAATAAACGAACGAATTTGATGGTGTCTTGAGGGTCCCCTGTGTCTTGTTTATTCTGACTCCAAATGTTAGCCTACCTCTCTCATTCAGAGTCTTTGTACTTTGTTTTAGTCATAGATGGGTAGTTGATTCTGCGAGTGATGATGCAAGCAACAAAATATTCATGCCGATCATTCATATTTCGTTATTATTATTATCATTATTATTATTATGCATTTTCTTAATTCATTATATATTCTAATAAATGCAATGGTACTTTCATTTGTTCTGAATTTTTTATTAGTTAAGTGTTTTCTGATCGTGGTTATTATATACAGTTTTAATTCAGTTTCCTTGCGTTATTCTGGGCCGATCCTTCATCGAAAGAACGATCTGAAACACAATGACCTTCATTATTGTCACGATCAACTTGCGACAATAACATTTGATCATCCACCATCAACCTGTGGGTGTTCAGGTGACTGCACACTCAAAATCGCAACACAGTTACCTTAACTCACCCACTTTCATAGCTGTTAGTATTGGGACTTACAAAAGCTGCGATACCAATCTTTTTGGGCTGCTATTACGCGGCAGGTATCAAGGACACTTTATGTAACACGACCATTACGCTGGCAGCCCGAGAACGAAGCACTTCGTTATCGGCCTGCTGATGCCAGATCACCATGCAGATAACGCGCGTGCATGGGAGGTCTGTGGCCTTGATGACGTGTACGCGGGAGGTCACATAAGCACTGTGGTTTATCAGTGTCACGTTGAAAGACGGAGACGAGAAGTCTGATTTCTAGACTGATAACCAGTAATGATATTAATAATATATGGGGTTTTTCATCCCAAAACCACGGTGGAGGGCTCCGGCATTGTTTGTGTGATGTGACATGTGAATATTCTTCTCTCTTTTTTTACTCCCCCTCCCCCTCCCCAGGTGTAGGGTAGCAAACTGGACGCGTAGTCTAGTTAATCTTCCTACCTTTTCTACATTCCTTCTCTCTCTCTCTCTCTCTCCGGCAGTTTCGACCATCTGGTGCACTGACATCGCACAGTATAGTGGCCTCTGTCATTTCGCCTGTGTTGAAATGTGACCACCACTTCCTGGATCGAACTCGCCACTTTCGGGAAAGGAGCCGTACACCCCAACCACTACCGCTTCGCAGGACTAAAAACCAATACCAACTAAACAGACAAGAATACGACGCCAGCCCTTTAACGTGATTTAACAAATAATGAGTAGAAAGTCAGGCTACGACCGAGACAACTTACCAGTACACCAAATGAAAACGTCTGCGTTGCTATTTCTCCTAGATTAGCGGGTTCAGACGTCCGCGTTGCGCACCCTCAAGTTTTCACGTCGTTCGCAGCGCAATACGAGTACGACTGCGGCATTTGCAGCACATAGAGGTCACTGGGACGGCTTTCAGCTCTCCCGTAGTAGAGTTTTAAGTACTCCAAAATCGTTACCCACCTTTTCTCCTCACACATTGCACAATGCCTTCCCAGTGTGCGTCAACGTCACCTCCGTTACATGCCCAAATGAGCAGACTCATTAACGGCTAATGAGAGAAGCGTTATCTTTGACATTTTGAAGTCGGCGTAAGCTCCCTCGAGGGACGTCATCAAGGTGAAACTACAGTTATCTGAAGCTATATCTGAGTCTATTGCCTCAGATCAACGCGCCTCAAACTCGCAACTGTGAGGACACGTTACGTGATCAGCGTATCAGCGCTAAACGGTGTGGTTTCTACATTAATTTCACGGATTATCTCGTGTCGTTGACACACCGTAGATGTGTGCACTAATTGGAGGGAATTCCCAAATTTAATCGACTGAAGCAGTTCTGTCACAGAAACTTGGATCACTGGGCAGGCGTTGCTTGTAGGGACTCGACTGGGAAGTATCGCCAGTTTGGTTGCTCGGAGTCTTTTAACTTTGAATTAGACAAAGTCAAACGACCCTTTGCAGTGAAGTGAAGTGAAATTAAGTGTATATAAATTCACGTGGTGGTTATCTGGCACGATGAGCGTCATGTGTTTGATGAAAGTTTAACTAGGCGTATCGACGTATATATCCAGCGAAGTGAGTCTACCTGATCTGCCCATTTCATCTTTTATAGCAAGCCACAAGTTCTGTTTTAGAAAGTTGTGTGTATTAGAAATTTGTGTTGAGAATATTAGGAGCCATAAATTTCATGTTAGGAGTTTGCCGCGTCCTCTAAAAAATTTTATTGAGTTTTTAACTCCCGGACTTTCCTAAAGCTTACATTACCATTTCTTACTTCACACTGCGTCAGGAAGTGAATGCACCAGAAAACTTGCATCTCGTACGTGTAATTATCTATGCTAATTTTACTGTTACTGGGAAGTTGTGTGTGCATTTAATTACTTTTTCTTATTCATTTTTGTGGTATTGCGGGGAAGTTGTAGTTAGTCCTTTAGCTGTTGGTGAGTGACGGCTTTTTGGTGCCGCTAGGACAGCTATTAAAACAGGACATGTTGACAGCTGTGACGGGTGTGAATGACGACGCTATAGCGCTATAAGTGGCAGACTTACACTATACTTCAAAACTAAGTGGTGCCCCACTTGCTGAAATGTAGATGTAGATGTAGATTCTAAACTCGTGGCTCACACCCAACCTTGGGGATCGACCAAGAATAGGGTAGCTTACAAAAAAAAAAAACGGATGTATATAACTAAATATTGGCGCAAAGAAAATTAACAGAAATATTGTTTTTTTGTAAATTATTTTTGAGAAAAAGTTTTGTTGAATTACTTCCTACTGACTGAACAATAAATAATTGATATCAATGAAAACTTTTCTATAGCCTACATGGGTTAACTGATGGGACACAGTCCAGCGTGAGTAAACTCGTGTTGCATGCGCTGGCAGTTCTCGTCGGAGTCCACGCGTTCTGACAAACTGATTGCGGTGAACTCTGCTCCGAACAAGACGGGAGTTAATTCCTAATATTTTCTTAAACTGGTCCGTTTTACCTCTTCTTTCATGCGAGAAGCCCTTATCTCTGAGCGACTAGAAAGCTTTTCGAACTGGGGGAATTTTACCGAGGACTGTCTTTTTCTTGTACGCTAGCAAGTATCACGTCTGAAGACCGTGAATGATTCGACAAGAACTGTTTTAGCCATATATTTGCCAGAATCGATGCAGAATTCTGCGAAATTTATTCCTATACTATCGTGGAAATTAAAAACGAAGTACTTATCTCAACTTTTATATATCTTTGCGCTTTCCGAGTTGTCTTGATTGCTCGTTGTCTGTAGTGACGTTTATACAGGATGAGGCTGATGAGTCTTCAGTTGACCAATACGATTTGTCTGTTTTGATGCGACCATACGTTTTTGTACGAATAAATATACATAAGGCGAGACCAGTGCCAACGCGTGACGTCAACTGCTACTCCTATTGACAGTCGGTGTCGCCAAGTAGTGAGCAAGCACAAAACTATAGAAACTGGACCAACAATGAAACACTTGATGCCAGTTGTTAAATGTAAAAATGTGCCCATTCTACAGAAAAGTTCACAAAGGACACATATTCTCGCATAACTTAAATGGGCACACCACATCACTGGGCTCCTGCCAAGTGTGTCTTCCCCCTGACTGCACCAGCTCTGTTTGTACAAACACGAATATATACCATTCAGGAGTCCATGCCTGAAGAGGACCAAACTGATTGATGCCAAACTAGCTTATGAGTCCATGTCATGGCACATCGCTTAAAGGCATTGCTTTTCATCCTAAACACGTATGCCAGCCCACTTCTGATCAAGCGTCAAATTGTACTGGCACCTGACGGCTTACGTGGCTTCAACTCCGCTCCTCGTGGGCATCAATCAATCCTCTGCACCACAACCAGCGTCAACCTGGTCATTAATTAGGCAAGTACACGCAAGCCGGAGTGCGATACACGGAGTGCGCATTTCGATTCATATTCATTAACGTCGCACGAAGCGGCGATAGAAGCGCCGCCCCGTGGTTTTCCTGAGTGGCCCTGACGCGTTGTGCAGGACTTCAGTGAGTTTGATGACCGAGCGATTAGCGGCAACTATACCAAAGGACCGAGCCACTGCTGCAACGCGTCCACCTCTTTTGAAGTCACCTATTTTCTCTTGTGCTCTATGGGTTGCGCAGAAACCGCCGCTCTCCTTTTCTCTCACTTCCTTTCCCTCTCATTCGACTCGCTTTCGCATCCCCCTGCTTTGTCGCGGCAACCGCCCTCCCGCCAAGTCCCCTACTCCAATCCATCCCGCACCATCAGTATCATGCAGGACCGTGGGTTCCAGCTCTGCCTCGAGCTAACGCAGCCGCCGTACTCGTACGCACATCAGAATAGCCTGTAATTGGTCGATACCCATCAAAATTGTCCATATTGTAAATATCTCTGAGGGTCGGCGCTTCTTAGGAACAGGGCTGGCTTATTTTGATAATTTTTTTTCTAATGTTTTTTTTTTTCTAACTTTGGGGGGAGAAATCGGAACCCCCACTTCTCCATTTCGCTATGGGGCTATGCAGTTGTCAGCAGCCATGCATATGCTCCTCTTCAATGGCACCTTGTCCGATGTGCACTGCACGGTACTGCCGAAACCAAACGACACGGCGCGCCAATGGCTCTGCCTGTTTCCCTCTCCGGCAGATGGCGTCCGCTCCCGAGTCCCTTTAAAAGCCACCTGGAAACGGAGAGAGCGCGCGCCACACGACAAGAAAGAGAAACAAAGAAGGGGAGAGCGAGATGCAGAGCCGTAGTAGTCGACGTCATCGCGCCGGCGCGCGCGTGGAGAGGGCGCTCTGTGTCCCGCGCGCTCGGCGCGCGCCGTACGCGTCTGGTCCGCGCTCAGCGTAAAAGAGAGAGAGAGAGAAGAACGCCGCGTCAGGCCGCGTCGCCCTCGCCAACGCCAATACGCGCGGCGGTCGGCGCGTGTGGCTGCGCATTGACCGGCCGCGCTGGTTCCCTTGTTGCTTCGGTGACGCGTCGTCCTTCGCCGTCGTGTGCGCGCGCGTGTGTTGTCGTGTGGTTGGGACGCCCCGTGACAAGCGCGGCGGTCCCCGGTGCACACCATGTGAGGCGAGCATGCGTCTCGTCTTCGGAGCTCTGCTCGCCGTCGCCCTGTGTTTGTCAACGTCGTGGTTAAGAGGACTGTCGTCGAAGCCAGGTGAGTTGAGAGCGCGTGGTGAATCCAAGCGTCGCGAAGGGAAAAAAAATCATGGAGCACTCTTTTTTTCGTGAATTCGTTGCGCAAGTGGTGCGTTCGCGGAACTGAAAGGGTTGGGGTGGGGGGTGGTTGGCTTTTCGATCCCCAGTTCTCAGAATCGCCATCGGTTGTTCTCCCTCACCCGCTTTTCTCCCATTCGTGAGTGCTATGTCGTGTGTTATCCTCATAAAATTTGTTCACTCTTGCAGCAATCTCTCATCTCACATTACCCTGCGACTTCCCGTTGGAGGTGGTAAATACGCTACGTCGTAAGGGTTTCTCTCTGTTGACTGCGAATGTATACAAATGGGCAAAAAAATATAATAACGAGGATGGAAGAATACTGAAAAATAACTGGCCACAACATCCTGATTCACCGCAGTGGCATCGCGACCAACAGGACGAAGAAAAGGATGGCAGAAAGATAGATGGAGACGAGCTGCTCGTATCAGCAATGCTGCTGTGTGTTTAGAAAAATTTTCAACGATTTAGAGTACTTGGTACTCAACTGTCCAATAGATCATCTTCAGTCCTTACTTGTTTAATGACAGTCACCGTCCACCTCGTGACCAATTCTTCCTTGGCTCCCTTAGTGGGTAAGAGCCACAAAAGAGGAACAAGGAAGCAAGCTCGCTTAACTAGCTATAGGCACATGTGTACCTATTTATGCGAGTCTTGGCCTTTCCCGTAGGCATGTTATCGACCAAATAAACAAAGTTCTAATTACTAATCGGTTTGTGTTTACGTTGGTGTTTACCACTGGGCACATGTTTACCGACGAAAGAAACTGGGAAAGCTTTGCGACAATGTCAACCGCCTGCTACGATACGTGTGCTGTCGATTTTCCCCAGAAAATAGCTGGAGCACCGTGTGTGCGTGTTGTCAAACGCCGGGAACTTTCACGACGCGTGAGTCCAGGGTCACAGAATATGAACAACACGCTGTGCGGTGCGTGCGAAAGCCTCCCTAAACCAGACCGAGTACAAAGGCGTCGATGGAGGTGAAAATGCTGTAGGCCCGTGTGCTAAGATATGGGGGCACGTAAAAGATCCCCAGTTGTTCGAAACTTCCGGAGCCCTCTACTTAGGCGTCTCTCATATTCATATAGTGATTTTGGGACGTTACACCTCACTTATCAATCAGTCAGTACAGAGGCGAGATAGTGGTTTCTTTTCTCGCTTGTACTATCCTCCCTACAAGCGTCATCTCCTCCTCGCCACTTATTTTCTTCACAAAACCTGCGAAATGTCGGAACGGATTGATTTGTGGGGTTTAACGTCCCAAAACCACGATTTGATTATGAGAGACGCCGTAGTGGAGGGCTCCGGAAATTTTGACCACCTGGGGTACTTTAACATGCACCCAAATTTGAGTACACGGGCCTACAACATTTCCGCCTCCATCGGAAATGCAGCCGCCGCAGCCGGGAATCGAACCCGCGACCGGCGGGTCTGCAGCCGAGTACCTTAGCCACTAGACCACCGCGGCGGGGCGAAATGTCGGAACTAAGCGTCGAGCCTTAGTGACAACTTCGCGCTTTTCGCTTCCCTTTGCGCAGTCGCAAACGCAGAGAAAATCAAGTAGAATCAGCTTATCACGCACGATAGCCACGCGAGACAAGGCACAACGGGCTGTATGGTGCACGGCATAGCAGGGTATGAATCAGCTCACAATAGATATCTCTCGCATATAGACCAATCGAGAGCTTATTTCACCCTGACGTCATGTGTACAAACTGCCTGACGTCATTGACTGTGCCGTAATGACTGACGGCAAAACGGTTGGAGAGGATAACGCGCGGGCTTTTCATATTTGTGAACGTTCTTTAGGGGCCCTTACAGGGATTCTGCAGACATTTTTGAAGCGTTTCCATCTCTGACGTTAGCCGAAACTGCAGGGCGTCACATACGGCATGCGTGGTGACAAAACGAGAGGAAAGAAAAAACCAGGGGACGAAGGTTGGTGGGATGCGATTGCGCCCCAGAGAAAGACGAGTGCTTCCCCTCTGATGACGACAGCCACGCTTCCCCCGTCGCGTGCTGTCATCTCGAATCTTATGTCGGCGCTCGCGGGGAGCAAAATGCGGAACAAACGCACTGCTTCCGGCGGTGGTCGAGCTCGCGACTCGCTTTCTGACGACACACGTCGTGCTGGCCTTTCGACTGAACTCGGCTATGTGAGGGAAGGAGGAAGGGAAGCAGATAGACGAGACGCAACCCCGGTACAGGGGATTGTTTTGCTGACAGGCGCGCTGCCTGAAGTCTCGTGAGTGTGTAGTACGTGCTTATATAACCCAAAAAGATATAGCGATTGGCCGCGTTTGAGAGCCGAAGCTGACTCATGGGTGGTGGTGGTGCAGGCGACCCGCACATTGGCCCGCTTTTTGTCTTTCTTGTTTTGCTTATTTGTGCGTTCAGAACAAGCGCGCGCTGGAGAGCAAAAGAAGAGTGCGCTGAAGTGGGGGCTCGAAGGTTATTTTGTTCGTCGTATCATTGAGCGAAGGTTTTGTCCCTACGAAGACAGGCCAAGGTCGTCTTCAGCGCGCTATTTTTTCGCGAGATTCAAGAGCCGCGAAGTGCGATGGGGATGACTGATATATTAGGCTTTATTGGAGCTCCTGGGGTGGCAAGAGAAAGTTTGAGCGTCCTCCCTGGTCTGGCGACTTCGCTCTGTGCGTTGACAGTCTTGCGCAGGACGCACTGACACGCCAAGAGTGCATGATCGTCACCCTTATGTGTCCTACGACCCTCCTTGCTTCGCGCACAAGAAAATGTTTTTAACGACAAGTGAAGGCAGATTTCTGCGCGTCATCATTAGGGGACGCTCACAGCATCTCCCGCTTACATGTCTAACAGTTTCCTTTGTAAGAAGAATTCTTGAACATCTTCAGTCACCGGCTGAATGGGCATGTAACCGGCAGGTATAGAATGCATAATGCTTTAATATTAAACTTCATATTTTGATACCCACCATGGTGGTATAGTGGCTACGGATCGCGACTGCTGATTCGATAGTTACGAGGTCGAATACCGGCCGCACTTTCGAAGGAGGCAAAATAGTTAACGCCCATGTACTTAGATTTAGGCGCATGTTAATTAACCCGCCGTGAGGAATTCACTGAGCCCTCCGGCACTGCGCCTCTCATAATAATACCATGGTTTTGGTGCGGGAAACCCTAGCTACTATTAATATTATTCCCGTTTTGATCTCAATGGGAATGTACATTGCGTGCCTCCGTCTTACTGCACAACCCGACACGGTGGCCTAGTGGCTAAAACACTCGGCTGCTGATCTGCAGGTTGCGGGATCGAATCCCGGCCTTGGCGGCCGCATTTTCGATGGAGGCTATTATGCTTGAGAAGCGTGTGCTTAGGTTTAAAAGAACCCCAGATGGTCAAATTTCCAAGGGCCTACCACTACGGTGTTTCTCATGATCTCATGGTGGTTTATTATTATTAACAATTGTTAACAATTAATTATATTATTAACAATTAACCCATCCCATTACACAGATACACTGGCTTGCCGATCCCTTCCTTTTCTACCCATGGCTTGGAAAAATGGTAAAGCGGCGCCTCAGTGTTTGAGTTTAAATGTATTCAATTACTGTTGATTAAATGTATTCAATTACTGTTGATTTGTTGCACATTGCTAGTGTGTGTAGCAGGGTTTGGTTAACCTTCTGTCTGTACCCCTCGTTTATCTCTGCTACAATGTTGAACCGAGAAACAAACGTAACGGTGACACGTGTTTCCCAACAAATCAAAGAATAACCGACGATGCTTCGCAATACATTGCGAGCTCGGCCCACGACACCCCTCATTCCTTTTCCTTTCCCGCATCGAAAAAAAAAATCTACTGCTCCATGCCACCCCACACTCCACTTTTTTTTCCCTCTCCATCACAGGCCTGATCGCATACCTCATGGTGATATAGGTTCCATAAAAAAAGCAAGGACCGGTACTGCGGCTATGCTACGGCTTTGGAAACCATAGACGACCATAAGGGCAGGCGGCTGAAGGAATGCCGGGCTGGCCTATGCCGTGCGAGCGGCACTGTCCAAGCCGTCCACAGGCACCCGGTCTCGCCATTGTGCGACAACACAATGCCTCGTACGAAAAGGGCGATGCGTTGTCTTCTTTTTTTCTTTTCTCTCCTTTCTTTATTCCAGCTCCTCAACTCGGAACGGCTGCTGTCATACGTGGGACTCGCGCGTTGTTATTCTATACGCGACCCCTCTGACGCGAGCGCACGCCGAGTCTCGAGTCTGCGTATGTCACGGGGATAAATACGCGCACCTTCGCAATATAGCGACCGCGCATTGTCTATCGTAATACAGGCGCGGGAGCGAACGCGGCAGGAAATGTCCCTTACGAAAACGTTCGCGCTTACTCCTCACGACTCGCGCAAATGAATTTGTCGCAGACGTTCGGTGCATGAAATTCACAGGGTCGCCCATGCATTCGCCTGAGACACTGCCCCGCCGCGGTGGTCTAGTGGCTAAGGTACTCGGCTGCTGACCCGCAGGTCGCGGGTTCGTATCCCGGCTGCGGCGGCTGCATTTCCGATGGAGGCGGAAATGTTGTAGGCCCGTGTGCTCAGATTTGGGTGCACGTTAAAGAACCCCAGGTGGTCAAAACTTCCGGAGCCCTCCACTACGGCGTCTCTCATAATCATATGGCGGTTTTGGGACGTTAAACCCCACATATCAATCAATCAATTCGCCTGAGACAACTCAAAGATGAAATACATCTTCTTTTTTTTTATTGTGATAGCAGTTGTGTGGACACTCTAAGCTGGTTTTTGTCGTCACCGTCGCAGTCGCCGTCATGTCCCGTATATGAATGTATATGTATATATTTCGGCTGAGCCGATTTAATCGTTCCGTTTCCCGCGCTGTGCTTCTTACGCGAGGGACAATACATATGAGTTACGCACGTGTTCGTCTTCTTTAGTTCATG